TTGGGAATGTCTCCTGAAAAAAAATTACGGAGGGAAAATGAAGTAGAAAAGGGTGAAGGAAGGAGAGTGGAATAATAGTTAACTTAGTAGAATCAGGTTTACAGTCTTTACAGTCCTTCCTCTGCTCTATTAAATCATATATTGTTGGAGGCTGTGGGAAGAGGGAGAGATTGGATGATGGGGAAGGAGAGAGTTGAAACTTTATGGAAAGACTTGTGTTATTAGGAGAGCTGACTGAGACTGTAATTCTTCATTCTTGTCTGCCATTTTAGACTGAAAGTTATGTGTTACATTTTTAAAATAGGATGTAAGAGTGCATGACTACTGTAGCAGCGGGTATCTCAAAGGTGTGCATAGTATTTCTTGAGCACATTTCAATAAAAAATTGATTTTTAACTAAATAAATGTTGATATGCTGATGTGTGTTGATACTGAGAACTTTTCCGATGATATTGATTTATGTATGGTTGACATAATAGATATTCAATATATCAAAGAAAGATTGTATATTAGTTGAACTGTTATTAAGCATAGTACACACAGACCTGAAAAGTACAAATGTGATCATAGCGTAAGTTCCTGACTGTGAGTTATAAAAATCACATCTTCAAAATTCCATAATTCTACATAATAATTAATTCATTATCTTAAATTATTGTTATTGTACACTCAAACTGTCAGTTTACACTTAGAGATGTTAACTGAGTTACTTACTGGTTTTAATGCCAGATTAGATTTTTAATGAAGCACTTATGCTCTGTTTTACAGAGAAAAGAATTCTTAACGGATATTCATTGTATAACTTCATACACAGTAATTCTAAGTGAAGTTAATTTGCTTCATTATCTTTTTTTACGGAATAAAACTCATATGCAGATTTGCTTTGTTTCTAGGAGAACTTAATGATGGAACACAGACAATTAGATTTCCTTAATGAACTTGAGAAAAATGAATGGTTTAAAATGACTCTTCATCCAGGCTTTGTACCACTTTCTTCTATTGATATCAATGAGCTACTAAAAAGTAATTTGAAAAAATACTAATTAGAAGTTGAGATTGTACTTACAATAGCTAGAAAGATTCAGTACTTCAGTAAGAAACTTGAATTGAATGTTCCTTCAAATGTTAGTGAAAAGTGTTGAAAAATGAAATCTAGGAATAGAAGCAGAGCCACAAAGGGTCAGTCCAAAGCTCAATTTAGCTTTGTTTCCTGCCTCTAGTAGGAGTCTAATAACCTAGATGCTTTGGGAGATAGATATATAGAGAAAAGGAAACGCAGTGATACTTTTCTTTCATAGCCACCTTTGTGTGCCTTATGAATTTCCTCAACAGACTGTATTTAGAAGCTTGTCAATACAGGAAATTGGTTCCTTCTTTGAAGGAAAATAATGTCTGAAGTTTTGAGGCATCTTAATGGATTAGGTCTTACAGTACCACACTTGTTTTTATTTGCTCACTGAATTATATTATATGTGTTCTTAGATGTAGAAATCATTCTCTTAACGTACCGTGAATGCAAATGTAAGAAAACTGAGAACAGGGGTGATGATGATTGTTAAAAAGCTCACATCTGTTAACATTCTCTCTGTGTGCATACATATCCATACACTATCAACCTGCAGTCCTGGAGGTTTTCTTTAATTAATCCTTTAACTGATTTTTTTCATACATCCTAGGTTACTGTTCAAAAGAAAAAAAAAAAGTTGGTCAATTGTTTTAGATCAAAACAGGCTGGAGGCTATGAATTATAGATAGACAAGATAACACTGAATTGTATTATTTTGCTAAATTTAGATTAAAGGCCCTCAGACCAGAAGTCTGATGAACCAAAACTGAAAAACACAGTGGCTAATTCAATATGTACAGGTCATACAGTAGATTTAACAGCTGTGTACTGTATGCTTCACTGACCAGCACATGCCGCTACTCTAAAAGAAAAAGAGTAAGCTTAGGACTTGACACTTTAAAAAAAAAATATATAATAAAAAAATCACATTTCTGTGACATTGTTACAGAAAGCCTCCTATATTTCATAAGCTTACTTTGATCAGTACTGTGTAAAGTATCTAACAGATTTGAAACTCTTACTAAATATAGTCTATCAAAGTTGCATATAATTATCAGACTCATTGAGCTGAAGAGTTATTTACAGCTATGTTGCGTTTCTTGAGCCTTTATTGTGGCACTTCTAATGACAGGAGTCATCTACTGAAATGCCACAGAACATCAAATATACTATTTAAGTGGTACTGTTCATTTAAATGTGTACGCTATTAATTTCCACATAAAATAGGATTACATATATATTCCAGACTACTTTAATTAACAGCTCCTGTTTACCAGAACAATGATTTTCAGTCTCTGTGGGCTTTCAACGTACTTGATTTATTTGGCTTCTGTATTTTAATCCTTCCTTTTCAGTAATTTCATGTATGATTTTAGTGAAGTTTGTAGTAAGTAAATGTCTAATGGGAGTATGTCAATGTATGTAGGGTAATTGAAGTAAAGTGCATCTTACCCTTAGAGTTCTGTCAAATAACAAATCAAATCAAGTGGCAGAATGAAGCTTCAGCATTAAGTTTTCCTCCACAGTGCAATCACTAGAGTTTCTTTAGGGAAGAAACTTTCGAAAAGGATCAGACTCACTGGCTACCTTTTGCTACAGTGGTTCTCAGTGTTTTGGTTCTTGAGGATTCATTAAAGTGTGAATAACTCTAGATGTAACTGAAAAGTATTAGTGAATGTTAAAATCTATTGATAGCTGAATATCTGCAATAAATACTCAGCCTACTGCTGTACTACTGGGGCTTAATTTACCATTGTATAATCCCAGTGGAATCACTGCACTGATAAAGGAGTCTGCATTTAGTTTTGCTAATCATCTGTGAATTTCTGGAAATACCTTACCCAGTTTATCGCTGCTTTTTTTTTTTTTTTTTTTTTAAAAGCAAACATAAAGTGATTAGGGCGCTATTTTATACCTTCATTTTAGAAACAATAAAAGGTCATCATTTTCTTTCAGCATTAGGCTCAGGGATGCTTTAATATATGTCAAACTTAAATCATCACTAAAAGTAAGATAATTCAGGAATTATTGAGACAATATAAGCATGAGCTATTAACCAGTTGCTTCTCTGAATTATCTGCTCATCCTTGATAGGTGGTAATGTATTTGTTCAGGCTTATGCTAGTAGTTCTTTATGTAGTAGACATGGCCTTGCAACCCTACTTCTGAAGCACTATTGTCACTAAGAAGATTAGGGTATCTAGATGATGATTTTCTTTACAATGTGCCTTCCATTTTCAGGAACATTTATACAGTTGATATGAGCTACCATCTGTTTGCTGATTTTGCAGTATCCTTGAAAGTAGTACAATAGTAAAATTGGTTTGCCTTGGTTGGCTAATAATTATTAGGACCTGAGAATAAACTTTTAAATGAAATGGGTCGTCTGCAAATGGGCTGTGGGTGGGAGAATCAAAAAATGAAATATGCGTTCTGTAGGCAAAATGCACAGATGCTTCATGTGAAGTTGTTACATAACCTGAAGAGTCAGGGAGGAGGTGTTTGTTCAGCTCAGTGAACAAGTACTGGAGTGCGGTTCACAACTCTAGGACACTAAATTAAACATCATCAATGCAAGAATGGAACAGGCTACAAATTTCATGTACAGTTATGATGATGTCTTCACACAACTATGAAGAAG